GGAAGGAAACAACGCATTATGCAAGATGAGGCGTGAGAAGATGCCTGCGCGATCTGCCGCGCGCGCGTAGCTGCGGTCTCCCGGTGATCGCTTCTTCGCCAGGTACACGGCGCAACAGACGCCCAACTTTGCGGCGAGCATGAAGCCCTCCTCCGCCCCGATATCCAACCGCTTCACGAGCGACCTTGCCTCGGCCATGAGGTTGTCGGCCGCCGCCGCATCCGCCTGCGGGCAGGATTCGCGACGAGGGTGATCTCGCTCGCCATGATCCGCGCATCGCTTCAGCGATTGCTTTCTGGGAACAGGCTTAGCACTGCAACGAAGGGAGAGGATGGGCATGCAACTCTCGCAACGCAGCGAAATGCACAACAATGGCCCACGCGCTGCAGCGCATGCAGGGGGGAAAGCGCCGACAGGCTGATGGATGGTTCTGCACATGCTGCCCACCACTTGCTCGCCTGAGCAATTGGCCTTCACGATCGCCGCCGCGACGTTCAGGTGCGACCCCCCGTGCTCCCCCCACTTAATCGCATTCAACCTGCGCCGCATCTCGGAGCCGCACATCAAAGCGCGCCCCGAGACGTCCACATTCGCGAAGGTCCGGAGGGCCTCATCTATTGCACGGGGAAGTTCTCCGCTTTGCCGCCCGAGCTCAACAAACATGCACAGGTCGGCGACCCAAGCCTTGCAGGGCGGGTTCGTGTGGCCCGCCTGGACGGCGACGTCGCGCCAGTCGGGCTCGCTCGAACCCTCGACGAGGCCGCGTGCCAAGAGCGCCCGCGCACCTGCCCGCGGCAAGCGCCGAGCCGACCACGTGCTGCAAGACGGTAACTCCTCCTATCATGCCTAGCTCCTTGTTCTCGTCAACCTCCTCCTCCACGCCCTCCCAATCATCGCCCTCCTCGTGCGCCATTCTGACCCTTACTACATGCACGCGCAACGGAGAAAGGCTGCAGCCTGATCGAGTGATCTCGGTCTCGTGGGCCGCCCCCCCGACGTCGGCGTGCAGCGCCCTCTGCGCGCAGTCCTTGAGACCCTTCGCGCTGGCCACCGCGTGCTTCATGATCAACCACGTCATGTCCTTGCCGACTGCCGTCGCAAGTTGCGGGCACAACGCGCGCAGCCGCTCGGAGTCGACGCGGCCCCGATCGTCTGCCGGCGCTTTCACCGTGGCCGGTGCCTTGGCCAACGCGCAGCGGAGGAGGACATTCGCGTGGGAGCCGCCCACAGACGCGCACCGCAGTGAGTCCAGTGGGGGGCGCCGACCCCCACTGAGCCGCGAAAGGCGCCCGTTCGCCAACATGGCCTCTTGCAACTGCGGCCCTCCGGGCGGGGCCTCGAAGGCCGCGGCCCCTGCCGCCTTGGCAAAGACGAAGCCCCGGGCGCAAATCTTCGCGCCTACATTGCGAGCCCGCGCAGGGTTCACTAACGAACCATTGCGGTTCTCAATGTCGACGCCCATCTGGGCGGATGGGGCCTGCCGCGCACGCGCTAGCCCCTCCGCCAGCAGAAACTCCGCCAGGCGGCCCCGCCCCGATGCCCAACCTCCCCGAGGCATTGCTATCGTCAATGCGCTGCAAGATCTTCTCCTCCCGGCGCGCCTGCAGCGCCATCATCGGCGCGACGGCGCCGAAAGCAACGCGCGAACCCGCGGGCGCGGCCTGCAGATGCGGCGCGCGGCCGCAGCCTGAGACTAGCTGATTGCGCGCGGCGCTCGCGAATACGGGCTTGGAGGGCACGGTAAATTGCGAGCGCAACTGCCGATATGGGCTGCAGCCCAAGGCTTACAAGACACGAGCGCGCACCCCGATGCAGCGCAAGGCGAAATGGCGATGCAAACATGTTTTGCGCCGCGACGCAACATGACAGATGTGCTATGAAACCTGGAGCGCGCAATGCGAACCGCCCAATACAACGCATGCAACAATAATGCAATTACAAGTGCATTCAAATTCTCCTGCAACGGAGCTGGACGATAACGAGGACGCGATCAACGCGCAACTAGAAAACATGCGGTAAACTGTGAAATGCAGCGCTGCAGCGCTTCGTATTCATATGAATCAGAAGGCAGCGCTGCTGCGCTGCTGATCAGCAAAAGCAAAAATCCAGGGCAGCGACTCCAGATCGAACGTGCAAACTATGTAGCGCTGCAGCGCTCAACGAACAGGCGGAGACCGTTTCAAAGGGGGCCGTACCTTTATTCCCTGCGGAGAGCCCTTGGAGGGGACAACAAAAACGCCCAGCATTCGCTAAATCACTCATAACCGACTTAGCGAACTGGTTACAAATGTTTATAAATGGATAGCTAAGTTCGCTAAGCACTTAGCTAACTACTTCTAAGTGGATAGCTAAGTACTTAGTAAGTCCTTACTAAGTGGGCCACTTAGTCAGCACTTATGAGGTACTTACCTGAGTCAGCTAACTAAGTACTACGTACTTAACTTAGTGTAGTGAGTCTGCTAAGTACATAGCAACCGCCGAGGCCATCCAAGTAGCGGGTCCGACGTCGGCCCCTCCGTGCTGTTCCCGCATCTCGCGGGTCGCGATGGCACCGAGGGCCCCATCCGCGCTGTCGATGGTTTCCCAGGGGCATCTGGGCTCCATGGGCTTCCCCTTTCCCATATATTCCTTGAAACCCCTGTGGGCCGGGCCACTGGAAACCCCAGCCCCGCCCAGGCGGCCACCGCCGCCGCCAGGGGGACGAACGCGCAGCCGACGAGGGCGACCATGGCCCCCGGCGGCCCAGGATGAGGGGTTCACCCCTTCGCAAAAGGCCGCGCAGCCTAAGCCAACGGGTGCAAAAACGGAGAAGAGGAGAAGAGACAGGAAAGAGAACGGCAGGAGAGGAATTCCCCGTTAAAGCGGGACCCCCCCGAACTGAGGCATCCGTATAGATGCTTAGATTCAATCTGCACGCGCATCTTCAGCGTCAGCGCCCGCGACGCCGCCCGGAAATTAGTTTATCGTTTTTTTCGCCATGCTGGACAATGTTGGGGGATTCTTTCTCTCGGTGAATAATGCTCCCTGGGCCACTTTGCGCGACGGGGGAATTCTGAACACAGTTGTGAGAGCATTGCGCATCTCGCCTTCGCGCCACGCTCCTTCGTCTCAAAACGTCCAACGCTTACACGGATGGAGGACGGTACGTCTTCGAAATGTGGATATCGCCTATGCGCCGCGCCCTTTCACCTGAAAGCTGCCAACAGTTGTAGATGGAGGCAGGTAGCTGTTGGTTGTTGGGCTTTCGCCTGGGCCGTCCTCTGAACTTTCGCAAAGAGCACACGGGTCGAGGGCGTGCCCGTTTCGAATGAAGCCCTCGCCTAAGACTGAGGCATGCTGCACGAATATAGGCTAAGCATTGTGCAGCAGCTACACAAACACCAGTTCCTTTTCAGAGCGGGGAGGTCGTTGGGCACTTCCTCGAGCTAGAATACCTAACATGGTCGCAGCCCGTGAAGCTCGAAGAATGGAGGGCGCATCCCGGTTTTGCGTTGGTCATCCTGCTCCTCCTCCTCCGTTTCCTCTTCGTCCATCGCCTCCATGTCCTCCTCTTCCTCCTCCTCGTCCTCCTCCTATTCCTGCTCCTCCTCCTCCTCCTCCTCCGCGTCGTCTCCGTCCTAATCCTCGTCATCGCCCTCGTCCTCGTCCTCTTCCTCCTCCACCCCCTTCTCTCCTTCCCCCTCCTCCTCCTGCTCTTCCTCTTCCTCCTCCTCCTCCCCGCCCTCGTATGTATATATATGTAGGTGTGTATATATATGTATATATATATGCATATATATACATATGTCTAGATCGCATTCGTCGCCGAGTCCTGTTCTCACAATCGCCACTTGTAAGATGATTGCGTTATAGATCGCATTCGTCGCCGCGGCAACAATTTAGAAGTCGGCGCCCGCGTCGCCGACGACGAAGCTGTAACTGTAGACAGTGGAGGGCCCGCGCGGGGCCTGAGCCTCAACAGTCCTTCTCAGGATTGAGTTTTCAGGATAAAGTTTCTGAGAACCAAGCTTCTGAATCAAGGTTTTCCATGAGAGCGCTCTTGAGGCATAGCGCCGAACTCGTAGTCGTCGCACTCGTAGTTGCAATCGTAGTCGTAGCTACTGGCGGGTGCCGCGGGGCAACGAAAACATAGTCTCCCCCTCAATCCGTGAATAAGGCTGCCGAACAATTAATACATTACACCAAATTGGGGGGTCTAAAACCTTTCGCGGTTAAGACGAGGCAGTGACAGAGGTTCGAGGGAGATGAAAAAAGTCAGATAGACCAAAACAATGGGACGGATGAGAAAGATCCGTCCCTCCTGCGCGGGGAGAGGGTGCCGCTGCAGGAGACGCTACGACGCTGCACCCCTAAGCGCCCTGCTGCTCTGAAGGCGACAGGCCCCTAACTATCTGGACCCAGGGTGGCGCGGCGCTCCCCGCCTCCAAGCGCGCGGGCGCGGCGAGCGGCAGAAACTCCCACGGGTGAGAAGGAGAAGACGCCATGAAACAAAACCGCCGTCGAAAGAAATCGCGACCACGACCACCGGGCCCCGTCTCTGTGCGGCATCATTGTCGGACGAATCGGTCCGCAAGAGCCCCGGGTCACAGACGGGGAAAGAGCGCCCGTCGTCATTATTGCACGACGCCGAGACCTTCAAGGAATGGACTACCGCTGCTCCCTGGGCCTCTCCCGAGCTGCGTTCTACGCCACGACTCCGAAGCCAACACTGTCGTGGCGGTGAGGGCTCCCCTGGGAAGCGCCAGCGAGGCAAGAGCACGTACCATGTTTGGACTGCCTGCAGGCCCCGCTCCAACGCGGCACGGGCGGTATGCGCCCGGTCATGAGAGTCTCCGGCGGATACTCTCACCTGGAAACTGTCACCCGCAGAACACGAGGGGCTCCGGCGTCGGTATGCCCTCCCTCTGAGGCGGGGCGAGGTGCCACGGGCGGTCGCCCGGTCCTCGGGCGGGGGCCCCCGCGATCCCGCCCACAGAGCGGTCCAAGAGCGGGCGGGGCGC